GTTCGTCAAGAAAAGATGGATCGACAATGTTGTATTTGTTGTTTTGAGTGTTTCTTTTGTAAAAAAAAATGATTAATTGAGCGTGACTCATTGTGGAATACAATTTAATATATTTGTACTACTTTACAAAAAATCGACCTAAGCAGCTGTCTAAGCACTGCTCGGCCGCCCCCAATTTGCATTAATCAGCTAAAAAAATTGGTAAGACGATTAAGCGGACCTAGGCGCTCATAGACGGGTTCGATAGCCAGGCGGCTGGGCGCCACCTAAGAGAATATAAGTCATTTTATGATGGAATAATTAATTAAGTTTTAGAATATTGTAATTTATATGAGATAAAATAAACATCCATAGAAAAAAGTAAATATAAAATGGTTGAAAGTATGTGCATGAATAGTAAATTTTATTGAAAAAATATGTAGTGATTGATTTTATTGAAAACATGTGATTCATATAGCCGACCTCATTTAGTGAGATTTTAATGATTTTTTGATTGATTAATTGAATTATCTTGATAAGACGAATGAGAAAAAAAGAGATTACATGAATAATAATTTCTATAAAAATATATTTTAATATAATTAAATAATATCAATAAATCATTATGACAAATTACATAATTATAATTTACGGTTTATCTACTTACATAATTTTAACTATACACTTACATCAATTTTCTCATACTTTTAAACCACATCAACTTTAATCATTATATTTTAAATATTATTTTAATACAAACTCAAAATCTCAATAAAATCAAACTCAATTAACCCTATTTAATAAATCTAATCAAATACAAAATAACTTGTATCCCATCCCAATCATGCCGAACGTGACTCGGCTATGGACTCAACTAAAGTCATTAATTCCGTCCTAATCCGATAGTTGAAGTCCAAGGTTGTGACACTCTGATGGCAATTAATTATTAATATTAAGTATAATAAAAAGGGTAGATGGGATCAGCTAGAGTTTCACATTAGTAAAGTAAACCAATTAACTAACCAAGCCATTGAAATTTGGTATCAAAACCCAACCAATTAACAAATTTTTTAATCATATCTTTTACTACCTCTTATTTTTTTTTTAAATGTCATTTTGGTTTTATCAATAATTAACCAAATAAATAACGTTTTGGATTTTTTGTACATATTTTTTCATTATTATTCTCATCTAGTTAATAAATACACTACGCCTCTTTTTATATTCACTTTTCATTTTTTCTCAAAACACCTATCTTTATCCTCATTAATGAGAGTTATTATTGGTAAAAAAAAATTAATGTACCTTGTGCTTTCTGGATAGGGACAGCTGCATAGAGTGATTAATGAAATGTAAATATAACCACCTGCAATGATATATTTAACCAAAATATATAATTAAATGAAACCAATTCAAAAATATGCTAGTGTAAAGTAAATAATTAGAATTGAAATTAAGGAATAATTTGAATGGGAAAACAGGACCTTTGAAGACAAAAATGGCTGAAGACTGAAGAGAGTGTAAGGGCCAGAAGGTTTGGGAGCAGCTTGTGAGGCATAACAGCTGGAATTTTTAATCTAGCTAGAAAAAAAAAATAAATAAATAAATAAAGTATAATATTAAAACCTCGTTCGTCTAAATAAAATCAAAAAACCACATGCATTTACTATTTTCTGCACTATTTAATAATCTGTTCTATCATAAGATGTCTATGTCGTGCATCTGTCCCTATAGGGCTCATTGCAGTCGTTCCTTTTGGAAATGCCACCACATTGACATAGTTTACTGATGCCATTTTCTTTTGATGCTGGTGCATTTCACCTACAATTTTTCTTTCTAAAGCAAAATTAATAATTTTTTATAGCATAAACCTAAATACTATTAGGCTATGCCCTATTGTCAAAACATATTTGGTTACAAAAATTACAATTCCCGCTGTAATGGTTACGAGATAGTTTTCTCTCGTTATCGACATGCCTAAATACTAAATAGTATACATTCTTACTACATATGCATATTATTTTTCAAAAAAAACAAAAAAAAAAAACATAAATAGTTTTGTGACATTTCTTATTCAATTTTGTTAAAAAGTATGAAATTCTACTGCTATTGTTAGTTGCTCACACAAGAATATGTGCTTACTCAAAATTACCTTTTTTCTTTCTAACGAAAGGTTGTAATCTATGATTTATTTCTCTATCAACTTCTCAAAGAAAATTTAGATAATAAACTTTATATTTAAGCAATAGTTACACCCCATAATCTACATTTGAGTATTTTTCACACATAATTATAAGGTTAAAGATTAGTATGTGTGACAAATAATGTGGAAAAAGTTTACCATGGAATGTAATTTCATTTGGCTAGTAGATAATGTTTTTTGTCCCTCTCAATATGTCTCCTATCTTTATAACCCAAGGCATAGCGGTGTCGGCAGCCACTACAAAGGTCGGAACATACTTAAAACATAGGAAAAAATATGAAAGGTGCCCTTGAAATTAGCTTAAATGCTTAATAATATAACTAGTTATAGCTTAAAGTACAAAATGCGCTATGCTGAGTGTTTTGTGTTAGAGCATCTCCAATGCTATAAGTGTGAAAGACCATTATTTTTAACACATGTCAATTAGTAATTGTAATGTTAATCCACATTGGAATAATGTTAAAAGACTAGAAATTTCAATGGAACTAGTATCTCCAATGCATTAATTTGATAACAAGTTATTTGTATAGGTGGACCAATTAAATAATTCATTGATACAAAAAAAATAAAAAATAAAAACAAATATAAAGTAAATTGATGAGTCATCATGTTTAACATGGTGTTAGATATTAGAAAGTGTGTTCAACATTGTCAATATTAAATAACATCCACCTCATCATGAAAGAGTTCATGACAAGATGCATTGGAGAAAAAAATAGAGACGCACTTTCAAAAGTTGGTGATATGGATGACTTCTTATAATGTCAAAAGTTGCATTGGAGATGCTCTTAGGCTTATTACAATCAAGTTACATACTTTCAATGTCATACTTTAAATTACAAACATAAATAGAAATATGACATTCCATATTACAAGTAAAAAATTTTGTAATTAAGAAAACATCAATGACCAACAGTTAGACAATCCAACAACATTTTTCAATGCATTGTTTAAGTCGTTCTAAATTTGTTTTTTCTAAGAAAATTTATAGTTGGTTAAGTGAACCTATCCCTTTCAATTGAGCCAACTCACTGTAGGGATTTTAAATTTGCAACACTTTCCAATTTTTGAATCTAAAAAGTCTCACCATGTAACTTGTAATGACACTCCATCTAAGAATACACTAATAGAAAGTATAATAATGAAGTCAAAAATAATTGCATCAAACCACGATATGCAGACAATTGGAAAAGATCTATATTAACATATGTTCCATCAAGTGAAAATTGTCCCGAAATGGTATATAAAGCCAACAAGAAGCAACAAGAAGTCGACTACTTAAATTTCTACCGCTACGAATTACCCGAAATACCCCTCACTCGTCGTCCAACTCCACAATCTGGGCCCGCCTCTCGGCCGCTTTTTTCCTGATAAATATTCCCCACCTCATGGCTGCCTTGATCTTCAGCCACCCAGCCACCGCCCTTCCCTGGCGGGCACGGCCCGCGAGCCCAAACCCGGGCGATGGGGACGCCACGTAGGACGAGGGGAACCCAAACCCGAACCCGTCCTCGGACGGGCCCCCGTGGGCCCCACCACCCCCCATACTGAAGAGGCGGAGAAGGTGCTGCATGTCCTCGTTCTCCAGCATCTCGTGGCTCCTCATGCGGATTTCCTCCTCGGACATGAAGTCGGGTCCCTGGCCGTTAACGGGCCAAGGCCCGTAAGGGTTGAGACCGTTTTGGGCCAGCCCGAGAGAGGAGGAGGAGGTTGAAGATTGAGGGGGCCCGAGGGCGAGGCCCACCCGACTGTCATACGGCTCGAGCTGGAATTGGTCGGCTTGGGTGAATGGTGAGGGCTCGAAATATCTCGTGGCCATATAGTCGTTGTATCCTGAAACGCGAAAAACAATAATGTGTATGCTGATATCTAGCTGATAGCTGATAAATTAGTTGAGATAAGTTAATTTCGAGCTTTACAGCTGTTACCTACCTTATGGTTGATGACATAAAAAGTAGTTGATATAGTAAGCGTATGGTATAATTAGCTGATAAGTTACCTAAAGTAAAAATTTCAACGAGTTTTTCTTTTTCGAAAAACTACTTAAGGAAGCTTATGAGATGAGCTCGAGCTTTTTTAAAAAGTTTAATCTATCAAACCAAGCTAATCTAAAAACAAGAAGTTTATAAGCTAACTAAATAAGCTATAAGTTAGCTTATAATGCTTACCAAAACACACTCGGAATACTAAAAAGCAAAAGAATACGAGCTTTTCGAGACAAAACTCACCTTCTGTCGGCACACTGTGATCCAAAGACGGATCAGAAGGTATCGAAATTGGCAATCTCTCGGGTAGAAGCTGGTTATTATTCAAGGTGTTCGTATAATTGGAGGAGCTCACGAGTGGAGTGTCCCGCGAAGTGCTCGACTTCCGATTTTGCTTGAAGTTCAACAAAGATTGCCCATCGTACTCAACGACTTGATTCCAATTGTCGTATGCTTTTTTCACCAGTGTATCCACATATACCTACACAGGCTCACAAGATTTAGAAGAGCATATTTCAAATTTCACTGCCTTTTGGCTTTCATTTTCGTAAAGGAAAAACGGCAAACCTTTTGGCTGTCAGAAAGTGAGTCGTCTGGATAATATTGGTCATTTGCTATGAGGCCACTCAGCTCGTATATATTGTTAAAAACGACACCAACGCTTTTACAGTCCTCAGCGTAATATATATAAAGCTTCCCGCTCAAAACACACGTCTTGGCGTGTTCAATAAGGGCATCCCACATCTTGTTAGACATACCACTCCCGAGTATCTGCCGAGAAAAAAATAATAATAATAATAAAATAAAAGACGAACTGAATTATTATCACAAAATGCAATTCAAAGACAAGAATCAAAAGCAGGAAATACTTACATTCCTCAACTTCTGAGAGTCCATAACCACAAGCCGAAGGAAATCTTCCACAGTAAATATTCCTGCATTGTTAAGCCTCCTGTGGAATGACCCGTCCTTGCCGATTTTCTCCAATCTCCAAACGTCATCATTCAAGGCGGGTGGATAATGTTTTTTATACACTGCAGGAGCGTAAAAAAAAACTAAATCTATCACGCATGAAAAGATAGTCCAGTAAAATTTCCAAGACAATTAAGAAACTTTTGATGTATATGCAGTGTATGTAAGCAAATTACATTCTGTCGACAAGGAAAAAGGAAAACAAAAGATTCAACAAGTCTTCTAAATGAGAATCGGCAAAGAACAGACATATTCTCTGTACAAAAGATTTATTTAAATAGAAAAAAGGAACTAATGAATTTCAAAAATTATAATGTCAACACCCAAAACTTTTTTTTTTTTTTGGGTTATTTATTACTTCTTTGATCTCTATCTTGAACTCCTCTATCAAGAACTTGACATTAAGAAATCCTTTAACAAACTGGTCCGAGTGGACGTATGGATACTGTAATTCGCATTTATTGTAGTCTAATATCCGTATGATTTTGGTATTTGATATTAGTCTCTGCATTATCAAAATCGTCTTTAACAAACATGGAAAGATTATACATATAATGATATTAAAAAGAAAACTTATTTGTCAAAAACCAACAAAAATAACATACATTCCCCTCGATGATCCTTGACCGGAAAAGCTTCAGTCTTTGCCTCCCGAACACGTAAGCCCTCGCAATACCCGGAAGCAACCTTCAAGCCGAGCCTGAACTTACGGCTCCTTATCCAACTCGAATTATCCGTGAACGTGAGATCGCCAAGTGTCCCGACACCTTCTTTCAGGTTGACCTGCAAATCACCAGTCAACAGAGGCCTCTTCCCCTCGCGTTCTTTCACGACATGACTCTCAAACACTTCCTGGGCCCACACTTCACCATCCTCATTGTTGAAGTCGCCTTCCAGCACAACAACGTCCAGCTTGGCACAGGATACGGGCCCAAATGTCACGACATGGCCCGTGCTGGAATCAACGAGGACAACGTGAATGGCGGCACCTTGCTCGCCCTCGACTTTGCCGCCAGTGAAAAGCGGGAGAGAGAGGCGGGACCTGAAGTGGAGCTGCAGGTTTCGAGCGTTCGGTCCTTCTATGCGATTGGGAGATGACGACCTGAGATTTGCAAGAGTTCTTTAGGAAGAAAAGATGGAAGCTTTACATAAATGCGAAGAAGATAGCTTTATAAAATGGTAATAGAAACTAGAAAGCATGATGCATGTTTAAATCATGAAAGAACTCGACTGAATGAGCTATAAACAATTGTTTCTTAAGGTTTAGTTTCTTCTTTTTTCGTTCATAAGAAGGAAAAAATACAGAAAAGAAACTTATCATTTACAGAAATGATAAAACATTTTGGTGAAACTTCAAGAAATTCTATGTTTTTCTTTAAATGATTCAAACCTTGGGGATGTAATTATCCATGATTGGTATTTCTTTGCTGAAGAGAATCGTTTCTTGATTTATTGCGTATGATAAGAAGATATATCAATAAAGCAGGAAAGAGTTGAATTGTGCATGGGGCAGGACACAAAATAAAAACATGTGCAAGTTAGCAAAATGCTGACAAAATGAAATTTATGGCAAATGCAATGGCAGAAAAAGTTGGTAAAAACATTGTCTTAATTTTTTTTTTATTGTATTAATTAACATTAATACATAGAGCGTTGCTATTTCACAGGAACGAAATTCACAACCTTTCATTCAGCCTAGCAGGCCCCAGCTTAGACAATGCTCGTTCAACTTCTTCACTAACCTGTTCAGGTGGAAGAAAAATGAATGGTGAAGTTCTTGGGAAAAGAGTCGCGTTCATATGAAAAAGACAAATGAACAACATGAGAATGAGCAACATTTAGCATCTGTATTTCAAAAGGAAGGAAGTGCTATCACCAGTGTACAAACATGGAGAAACAAGAACACGTCATATAAAGTCAATAAACAATGAGTAAAAGCAGTAATTGAAAGTATATATTAGAAGTTCCAATTAAAGAATATGTACATAATCTTTTATCAAAACACTTGGTCAGATGTTCATGAAGATATTTGGAAAAAGAAAAGGTAAACAAAAAAGAGAAGTGATAGTCATTTCAATCCTGTATAAGTGATTAGTCTTATCAAAGTAGAAGATAAGAAGCACACAATTATGTGTCGATATTGAAAAGATATTCATCGTTACCACTCTCCGGAGAATTGGTTCTAATGATGAGCAAAGCTTCTGGAGACTATCCACCTTCAGAGCTTCTACAATAACGCTGCATCAGACACACATAGATGTACTAAGCATTTACTCCCTTTTCGCTTATCTCCCATTCGTGCAAAATAAAAGAAATAGCAACACGTTTATGACAGGTGAACCAGAAAATCAGATGAAGAAAAAAAAATATATAACAAGAGTGTCTCATGATTCAATGAAGCTCAAGATACAAATACAACTCCATGACTAGTGTGAGACAGATTGAAACCTCAAGATCTAACATATCAAAACTGCCGAAGCCTAATATTCGTTCATTAAATTCAAATCCACATTACATGTATACGACTAAGTATTAATTTTCATATAGGTTTCGATTTAATGAGGAAGCCACAAAGACTTAGTGTGGCAGTAACTCAAGCAAAACAACACAAGAATACCCTTGCATCGAGTTCCCACATATCTTCTTCAACGGAGGCTTAGTGTGGCAGGAACTTGAGGCAAGGCTAACTCGAGCAAACAAAAGCAAGAATAGACTTGCCTCGAGTTCCAATACATCTTCTTCAAGAAATACACATATCCGCATAGTTAAAAAGCATACAGAATTAAGAAAATAAACTGACATGAAGTAACAAACTTTGCTACCTAGCTAAAGCAGGTCTTTTTCTCTCTGGTTCAGGCTCCTCATCACCACCACTACCTTCCAAGCTTCTTTTCCCTCTCCCTTTCATCGAGTTAATTCTTTCCATGCGTCTTGTTTGCATTTTCACTGAAAAAGAAACAGAAACAAATAAATAAACTCACAACCAAACACACACAAAGTCCGTAGAGTGTAAAGTAAGCAAGAACAGATCTCAAAATTCACCCAAATATAAAAATCCCATCTCAAATTTCTTCTAAAAAACCCAGATCCTCCAACTATATCATTCAATTAATACAAAAAAACTTCGTCATCAACTAAACTTACAAAGCAAAACGTATGTAATCAGAAATTACCCGATACAGAGGCCAAAAAAGACCCAGTCTTCAGATTATATTTCGATTGTATCAATGGTCTTCGTCTATATTTGTGTGGCGCACGTCAAATTGCGCGCTTGCAGAGTCCGGATGATGATGGCGACTGCAGACCAGAAACAAACAGTGTAGTGGTAAACAAATACGATGTGGTAATACCTAATAAAGTAAAAAATCCAGATTTTTCTGTTTCTTTTCGGGTTGGATTTTTTGTAGAGTGATAAACCTATCCGACTCTTTAACGGCGGTGTTGACTGTTCTTGTTTGCTGCAGCTATGAATATGATGATATTGTCAGCTGCTGCTTTTTCTTTCCTTTTTTTTGTTTTTTTTTTCGGATTTTTTCTGCGAGGAGTTGGGTTTTGGATAGGAAAACATGAAGCGTTAGATAGGGATAATCTGACGGCTCATGAGTTCGGAGACTGTCACGTAGGCGTTTTGTCTGGACATTGGTCAATTGGCGTAATATCCTGGCCCACTATAGGGTCATTCGTTTAGAAGTCAAATTTGCCAGCTGTACCCGTCTCCTCCTCGGAAAATTTAATGAGATTTAGAATTACTAATGCGTAGCCGTGCAATGCACGTGTAAATAATATGACTTTCATAGTATGTAAAATTATATTATCACACATTCATAATAAATTCTACATCTTAAGTTCATATTTTATGTTTTTTAGTGGAATAAAATCTTTCATTTTAGAGATCATATGTATTTAATATGTCCAAATTTATTTACATATCGGCAATTTAAATTTTGAATTTGAAGATAACCTGAATCTATGATTGCAAAATATCGTTTAATAATTAAATCAGTCGCAAATTTAGGATATGGTATTTTGAAATTTAGAAAAAAATAAAATCATTAATTTAGGAGAGATATGTGATAAATCTATCTAAATCTTGTATACATCACGTTTTACAATTAAAATAATTTAAATATGGAGATTAAGATATTTTGAATCTCTGATTTAAACAAAAACCATAAAAAAATTGATTTGGTATAATAAAAAAAATCATTAATTTAGAGGATGATATGTGATAAATCTATCTAAATCTTGTATACATCACGTTTACAATTAAAGCAATTTAAATATGAAGGTTATTCTTATTTCGAATCTCAGATTTAAATAAAGACCATAAATTTGATCGTTTCAAAATTAGATCCGTGTATTATTTTTTATTATAAATAATTGTCAAACAAAACAATTGAATCAGCCACAACTTTATTCTTTTAATTGAAACTGCCCGATTTGATGGTTAGAAAAATGTTTTCAAAAGAAAATAAACAAATTATTTTTTTACCCTTAAATTAGCCGTAATTTTTAGATAAAGTCTGCTAATCAAAACATATGTATTAGTCTCTATCGTTTCGGGAAAAAAACATGTGTATTAGCCGATTTTTTAGAAAAAAAAAATTGATTTTGAAAATACAAAAGTATATTTTTGTAGTTATAAAAAATAACACATATTTTTTTATTATTATATCAATCGTAATTTTTTTATTAAAAAAAAAAGTTGTCAAGCAAAACAATTGTATTAGCCGAATATCTAATTTTAAATTTGGAGAATATAATTTGCCGATATTTAATTGAATTAGCAGTCGTAACGTACATTATTATTCAAATTTAAAAATAGCTTCTTGTATCCAATAACCAAATTTAATTGATGCAGCTCGTGTATTATCAGCTTTTGATATGCACATCGTGTCAAACCGTCACAAATATTCAGTAGACCAAATTTAAATAGCAGCCCGCTTTATCTATACTTATATTAAAAGATATCTCATTTACCAGATTTAGTATAAAGAAAAGTCAAAGGTAATTAATCTATCATTATATTAAAAGATTAACCATTTAACATTTTTAGCAAGTTTTTCCCGCCAAATACATTTAATGTCTCCTAAAAATAGAGCAGCATTAAATGTTACCTTTAAATCATGGCAGTTGTTAATTTAGTTTGGAGAAAATCGTAGCAACTAAAACAAACAACATTAATTACGGCTGATTTAATATTTAAATGGTAAACAAATATTACTTTTTTATAACTGATTTAAATTTACGTCTGTTTAAAAGTAAAAAACTATTTTTGTAATTTCAACAAATTTGTACTCTTTAATGTACGGCTGATTTAAAATTAAGAATTTACTTTTGTATTTTCACAAAAAGTCGTATAAAGAAGTATGGCTGGAATAATAATAAAAAATTAATTTGTTATACCATATTTTGCACTCATAGATACGAATTCTCATCAAATTCAAGATTTAAAATTGTGAAGAATGTATATATATGTGGACTGATTGAAGATATATGATTCCTTAAATTAAGGAATTTTTTCCGGTAAAAAAAACTATAAACTTTAAATATAGATTTTATTAGTAGTGTATACCAAAGAATGTTGTTACATTTAAAATTCCTATGAAGAAAAATTCTATTAATTTTCAAATTCAACATCTCATAAAAATAATATAATACACATTTACATTCTATGAAACAATATTTAAAACTCACCGTTCAACATGCATAAAATGTAAAATTACCTAACATGAATCATTTTAACTTTCTAAAATCAGTACACAATTTGCTCGGTATGTATTAATAGTCTAATAGTTAAGAATTAATATTTGCTATGACATCTATTGGTTGGAAAAAATTCCATTTTGTATGGAATTCAAAATGAAAAAACATATTCTGAAAATCAAATCTGGTTTAGAGATCGATTTCTTAATGGCCTTAAATTATACAAATATATTGTTTCAGTTTTTAGGATTCATTTTTATGATCTCAGTCTTTGCATTATATGAAATCTATACTTATATAAAAAGTCATCCTATTTACTAGAAATAGTAGGCAGAAAAGTCAAAGGTAATTAATGCTTGCTGGAAATAGAATGATATTAATTACAGATTTGTTTTGGTATTTATAGGCTTGACATTAAAGATTTGTTATGGGATAAATATCAGAATCGATTTTTTTACCTTTGCTAGAAAAGTCAAAGGTAAGTATAGATTTGTTTTATCCCATAGCATCGGTTTAGTTAAGAAAATCCCATCAAATCAGTTTTATATGTCAAGCCTATGAATAAAGATTTAATCGGTCAAAATTAAATCCTTATTTTACGTCACTCATAAATAAAGTAGATGTCAAGCCTAAATTGAAGGGTTTAGTTGTCTATATAGTCATTGATTTACGTATATACATCTAATGTTTAAAGTTTGTGTAGATTGAAAATTCCTTCTTATCTTTTTACAAAAAATCTTATTATTATTGTATAGAAAATCAAACTCATAATGTTGTGTACAAGGTGGTCTTTAATAATATATGATTGTTTGTTTGTCGAATCTTATCTTATTGTATAATTTTCCTGCGTATTATAAAACTTTTATTGAATATTGCATCTTATAATATAGTATTCTTCAAATAAATATATCCCGTGCCACGCACGGGTCACGTACTATATATATCCCGTACATTTTTCTGTATTCATGTATATAATTATAAGTCTAGATAAATAGCCTTAAAATTGTGCACCCCGTGCATCGCACGGGCTCTGTACTAGTGTTTGCTGAAAATAGAATGACATTAATTACAGATTTGTTTTGGTATTTATAGCTTGACATTAAAGATTTGTTATGGGATAAAAATCAGAACCGATTTTTTTACCTTTGCTGGAAAAGTCAAATGTAAGTATAAATTTTTTTTATTCCATAACATCGGTTTAGTTAAAATAATCTCATAAAATCGGTTTTAATGTCAAGCCTATAAATAAAGATTTAATCGGTTTTAATAAAGTAAATTTAATCGGTTTTAATAATTGTATAGAATTTCAAAGCTGTTATTTATTGTAAAAAAATTAAATTCTAAAAAAATATTTGTGTATATTTTGTAAAATGTTTGTACAAAATGTTTTACTTTAAATTTATTTACATAATTTAAATTAATTACATTAATAAATAATATGCACATACATTAAATATTTTAATTACATAAAACAAAAAGAAGAAGAAGATTACATCTATAACTTATAATAATAATGACATTATACTACAATAAATTTTAGAATGAAATAATATAAGTATTATACGAGGAACAAGATTACGTAAAATTGTTATTTTTCTTATATCAATGAATAAATATATATAATGAAATCAAATTTATATTATTATAAACATGTGAGCGAGATAATATATTAATTAATTTACGGACTAGCGCTACCAAACTCAGGTTTAATGTTCCGACAAAAAAAATGACGTTCATGAAAAGATGTAAAAATATAGATGATCAAACTCTATTATTTTTTAGGCCTGAATGGACAAGCCCTATGGTCCACTCATTTAATATCTCCCGTGAATCGCACGAGCTACTTAACGGACAAGTTCTGTGGAAATAACTCATTAATAGTTATGTCTCGTGCATCGCACGGGCTACGTGCTAGTTGAAAATAAAAAAGTAACAAAATCCTCATTTTAAGGATAACATTTAATGCTATCCGTTTTTTATTAATAAAAATATTAAAAAGATACTATAAATGACATGTAATTAATGTTGATCAGTTTTGACCAAAGATTGACTTACTATTTTTGATAAATGATAATTCTTATTATATATATATAGATATAGATATAGATATCACAATTTCTCGTTTCTTTGAATTTCTTCATTCCTACTAACCAAGTTAAATTATGCACGTAAATCGCCCTATATATTATGGAAAATGTTATCTGTACATAATAAATGTACATAAGGTGTACACAACAGTCAAATGAAGTAAGACTCACTTAATATTTTATTTTTGATATGTCTCACTCAATGTGAGTGTTATTATACTCTTATGTACATGTAGCATTTCCCATATATTATTATGTACAGTGAACTCACACTAATACAATAACCAAACTTGGAAGCTGAAAACGTTGAAAGTGATAGTGCATCAGCATAATGAACAATACTTTGTCAATTATATCCCCAAAACAAACCGCCAAAAAACCTTCCAGGCGCCAGTTGATTCTTATTTCTTAAAGCATAGAACAAACTGATAGCCTCAGGACACATCACAGTCGCCATACTTGATTCTTTAAAGCATAGAACACTAACAAACTGATATTTGGATAAATTAAAGTCAGTAGAAATTAAAACAAGCACACTTCGACATGCCAGTCTCCCAAAAGTCTGAAATACAAAGAGCTGATTCCAATCAAGAACAACAAAATTTTGAAATATCCGTAATTTCTCAGTGACGTCAAGTTCATCCTTGGACAGGTCCCGAAATGAATGCTCTTCCCGGTTGCCTATTCGCCAAAGGTCCATGGCATCCAAGAAGCTGAACCAATTAAGTAATATAAATGTTACAAGCATTTACAATACTAAGAGTTCAAGGATATCAAGCCAGCAATGGGCTAAAACTGTATGATCTGTTTGAACAAATATAACATTAAGTGGGGAAAACAACTATGTCACAACGACAAACCTTTGCATTAACACCATCAGAGAGAATCCTATTCTCAGATTTCCATTTCAGGTAATCAGTGCGGTTGAATTTGGTGAAACCCCTGAAAATAAAAACACACATCCCAAGTGAGCAAACAGAATCATTACCCATGAAATTGTATCTTACCAACAAAATAAAATTATTTGATTCATCATTCATCTATAAAAATATGACAGATTAAATGATCAACAAGAGAACATAAGAGATTTTCAACAAAGAATAGCATCAGAAGAAGATAATAATCAATAGTGGGGTTCTAAAGCAAAGCATTCAGCCTAATAGTAAAACAAGCACAATGTGGAAAACAAGGATATATATAATTATCATCAGAAACAAGTAGTCCGCCGAAAGAAAATAAAGAAAAAAAAAAACCCATACCATTTCCTACTAACAATGATCTTCTGACGACCAGGAAACTTGAATTTCGCACGGCGCAAAGCCTCCTGAGCATGGTGGCTGTTCGCATCCTTGCAGCGAACAGACAAGAGTACCTGACCAATGGCCACACGAGCACAAGTCCCCTGTGGCTTTCCAAAAGCGCCCCTCATGCCAGTCTGGAGCCTATCAGCGCCAGCACACGAGAGCATCTTGTTGATACGCAAAACATGAAAAGGGTGGACTCGTACCCTCAAGTGAAAAGTGTCCTTTCCGGAAAACTTGGTCATGTACTTGTTGCAAGCTATACGGGCAGCTTCCAAAGCCTCGCTCGAGACATTTTCCTTCTCCCAACTGACCAAGTGCACACAGAAGGGGAACTCATCCACCCCCTTCTTCTTCATGCCCACATCATAAATCCTGATCTTTGGATCAGGCACACCACGGCAGTATCGTGATTTCGGGTAGGGTTTGTTCTTAATCTGACGGTAACACCTAGCAGGTCCTGAGAGATCAAGGGACACACAATCAGAATTTAAAACAAAGCTCAACTCAAATTGATACAACAGATGCTACTATTGTATATCAGGATTAAGCAGGATAGCATCTCTACACTAAAGGGATTCCAAGGCTTGACTCAAACTAATACATTGTCCTGAGTTCTAACATTTCATGTAACATGATTAAGCAGGATATTCTCTGAGTTCTAACATTTCGTACACTAAAACGGAGACCCAATAATCAACTGATTCTAACACATAGATGGAACGAAATTTCACTGGAAACAAGAAACACGGTCTCGCGAATCTGGATTAACCCAATGAGGCATAATCGAAATCTAAAGCCAGATAATATGATCCTGATTGAACTTTTATCACATCCTCGTTTATGTATTGTTTCAAAGCTATACATATAACAATAACATATTGAATAAAAATGTGAAAAGAAATGGCTTACTTCTCCCCATGGCTAGCTCCTTCTCAGTCTTCTCGGCCGAAAATTCACCGCGGAAACCAAACCCTAGCAAATGAGCTGAACTGGTAGGAATAGATATGCACAAATTATTCCGCGGGCTGCGACATCGGCCCAGTGTATCATGGACTGCTTAGATCTTTTTTTCGGCCCATCACAAGCTTTAACTGAATTAAGGATGTTTGGAATAAAGCTCAATTGTAAATTTGTAATGTATACTTTGGGTGAAAAATTAATAACCACTCGATCCCAATCCCATATAAATATGGTTGCAAATTAAGGAATTATGTTATAGTATTTTAATATATATAAAGTTTATTTTAGTAATTTAACATATATCTCGAGTCGCTCGACGATGTAAAATATTGGCTCAAGTTCAGTCAAACTCGAGCTCGAGTCGAGCTTTAACTCGAGCGTTCGCAAACGGCTCGGTTCGTTTGCAGCCATACTTATAAATAATCGTATTTTATCATAAAATTATTAGTCTACTTTGTCCCCGAAAATAGTCGTGTTACTTTAGTGATAGTGTTTAACTATTCCAACCGCGGTAATTATATCGGTAATAATTAACATTTTATACTGAAAATTCTTAAAAAAAAAAACATATAAAGTGACGAAGAGTCCGAGTTTTTAAGATATATGAGCCGCTAGAGTTTGCTCAAACCATCAAAGAGAGTGGTGTATTCATTCCTATGAGATTTGTATTTATTTTAGTTAATTATTGTTCCAAACACTTTATATGTTGTCTACTTTTCTTTAGCAGACATATGACGGTTGTTGTTCAGGACTGCTTGCTGTTGTTCGGGCCGTTTTGTTGTTGTTCGAGCTCGAGTAATTGTTGTTTTGGGTCCATTAATTTGTTGACCAAGGCAAACCGCGTGTTGTACGTGTTGGATATTTCTTGTTGAAATTACACAGGAATCCTACGAACTGAAATATATTAGACAATTACAATACAATCGGAAATAAATTATAACATAAAAACAGAAAGATTTTTAAGTCGAGGCAAGTAAACTCTTGAATATGCCCCGTGTGTTGCTAACGGTTCAGGCGTAACGTACCCAAACATACAACGACGATCGTCTCTAAATCTGTAGCATACCAGATTTACGAGCTCCGGCGAACTAGAACGGAGTTGAAAATTGAGCACTAAAAAATAAGAATAAAATTATCTCTCTGATAATTTTTTTCTATTTTTATACTAATATTTATCCTTCAAATATTTATATTTGACTGAATAGTTTTCTTTTTCTTTCTTTTTCTTTCTCCTCTCTCTTTTCTTCCCGTCTTTCCGCCGTGTATTTTTCTCTTCTCTTCTTCCCATATTTATAGATGGGATAGATCATATTGTTATACCAATTTGAAATTGGTTGAACAAATACCAATTAGTTGAAATTGGTTGAGGGAGTTGAACAAATTAATTTTTAGTTGAGAAAAACACAAATTACATTCAAAATATTCGAACAGTACGGGTCCATTATTTGCTGTCTGGGACCAAACGGAAGTTGTTCAAGACGAAACGGGTGCTTCGCCTATTCCCGGGCTGCTCGTGAGCGTCAAACTAGCCGGGAAATTATGTTTTGGGTCAGCCACTGTTTTCTACTTAGTTATAAATTCACACAAAAATTCATAATTATTAAGCCTAATTCAGAAAATTATGTATAAACCTCTACTTATCGAGTTGGACGACCTTAACGAGGCAAGACAAAATAAACTCAAGTCGTATATTTGAATTTTGAAATAACTAGTGATAATATTTGAACGGAAACCACACAAGAGACAGAATTAAGCTCATCGCAATCCCTTCAAATAATACCACGTGTACAGATTGCATTTTCAATTAACGGCCGTGATCACTCTTCTTCCACACGCAAATCATTTTATCCCTGTCAAGTTATAGTACTATTTAGCCATCTGCAACAAAGTTGTACTCCCCTACCAAAGAGAGAGAAAATGATTTGGCACATAGAGAGAGAAACTGCACAAAAAAGAGGTATGGTGTCCATCCAATCCAACTACTCTCCCAACCGCAGCAAGCAAGAGTTCTACACCCTCGACTGCTTCGACCACCGCGTCCGCGTCATCGTCACCGCCGCGCCTTCCATCGTTCGCAGGTGGGTCCACACCACCCTCTACCTCCACCGCCACATCCTCCGCCGCGGCCGCCTCTCGGTGGGCCTCGGCGTTCAGTGGCCGCCCGACCGCCCCTACGATCCGTCCACCTTACAGCTCTGCGTCGGCCGCCGCTGCCTCGTTTTCCAGATTCACCACGCCGACGCATGCCCCGCCGTACTCCGCCGCTTCCTCTCCGACGCCAGAGTCACTTTCGTCGGCGCGTGGAACCACCGCGACGCGGATCTGCTGCGCGATTCGCCTCACCGTCTGCGGATCTCGCGCCTGCTGGACGTCCGCGACGTGGCCGACGATCGCAGGGGCTGCGGCCGGCGCCTGTCGCTGGAGAGGCTGGCGGAGGAGATCCTGGGCTGGGACGGCATCGTGAAGGAGGAGCGCGTGGGGAGGAGCGCGTGGGATGATGACTGGCTGACCGAGGAGCAGGTGGAATACGCCTGCGTTGATGTTTTTGTGGTGTTCAAGATGGCCAAGGTTCTTAGGGCTTGGAACTGGCCGCTGGGGTAAGAAATTGGCGATTAAATTTCCTTTGATCCTGGAAAATTCTCTACATTTTGGTTCTGATGGGATTAGCTGATTAGTCTCACGTTTTCTGAAACTGGTTTATTGTAGTTTTGTGGATAACGTTTTCGGAAACTGGTTTATTGTAGTTTTGTGGATAGTTTATGCTTTTGGATGTTGAATCGGTGTTGAATGGTACTGGATTTTGAGGGTTTTAGACTGTACGAGAAAATTTGTGCAGCATCAATTTAAACAAGACTGCCATCCCATGTCTCTTTACCTATTATGATTTATGAGATGTTTTAGGGTTTTGCTTTTTCTGATATTTTGCAGTGGGAGATGTTTTTGGGTTAATGTTGCTTTCTATTGTGACCCATTTAGATTTATAAGATTTTCAACTCTTATTAAGTGTAGTCATTGCCAACAAGTGTCGATCTCACGCCTCGATGTGGTATAAATCGAGATTATTTTATACGACAAGTAAAAATAAGATAAATTGCATTAATCGATTATAGTTATCCAGGTTCAATGTCCCTATCATCAAAATAAATGTTTAAACATGCATAGCAAAATGATCAAAGCAAAAAAATAATCCATATTTTGAAATCAAAATAGAGAAGGAAAAAGATAAATTCAATGACAAACTCATCCGCAAGTCCACGATTCAAAATTAAATTCCAGTGGCCAAAATGATTCTGATCTCCTTGTCCAGCACTTTTCGCCAAGTCTCAGCCTCCGCCAGCATGAATTATTTCTTCTCAAAATCATTTTTCCCAAGCAGCTCTCTCTCTCTACAAAATCCAGCAAAACCCAAAATTAAGAGTCCATCCCAAAATGAATTATCCTCCTTATCTACTCAACTCATGTCACGAATATCTCTAAAATATTGAGAGTCCAATGCACTTAAAATCCTCAATCCCTCTCAGCATCAATTATTGGTATCTCAGCAGAAGTCATATACCTTCATTTCTTTTCTTTCTTTTAAATACTCTGCCAAATAAAATTAATTCCACATCCTTGCATACTTAGCCGCCACCTCATCAATGACACATCACAAATAGGTGAAATAACTGCAAAATAGACACAAAATTGAATATTAGTGTATGTCGGTTCACAAATTAAAATACGTGATAAAACTTGAATAATACACTTAACTCACATACTCAAATATGCAAATTATAAATCAAGAAATAATATAAGATTTCTCAGGTATCAATTCTGGTGTAGAAATTTCTTGTTTAGGGTGAAATCTTGAGCAGCATGTCACATGATCATTAGCATGGAGTTGCAAACGAGCTGACCTGTGACCCATGCCAAGTTAAGCAGTAGACTTATTACGAGCAAAGCTCGGATATTTTCATTGTTGAGCTCATCGACGACGAGTTGAGATTTATAAGGATCAGCGTGACTTCGATACATTATATAAATGCTCAAGATTGGTTAGAATTTTAAGAGCTCGAATTTTGCTCGAGTTCGGTTCTACTTTGGCTCAAAAGAATATCGAATTTCAGCGCAATTTGAGAGTATTTAGCTAATTAAATTACATTTATATTCGAGCGGCTCGTCGAGCACTTGGGCTCGACTCGAGTTCGGATTCAAGGCGCTCGAACTCGGTCAAAACCAAGCTTGAGCACTCATGGGCTCGTTTATTAAAGAAGGTTGCGATAGAACCTTTTTGCACGAGCATGTACGTTTGGGTCGTGAGCTCATTGCTCCAAATTGCTGGCGTGAAGGCAGATGTCGCGTCTGTGATGAGGCCTGAAGTGCACATGTACGGGCTCGTCCAGACTCGAAATGGCGTCCAGTATTTTTCTATTTGTCCCAACGAATCATGTTAGAGTTCGAGCCAGCATGCCTAGTGCATAATTATAACTCGTTTAACTTGTCCAATTGTTCGTCCAAGATTGAATTAACATGCAAATTTAACAAATTTTGAGTTATATAAACTCAAATTCTTAACATTTCAACTTTAAAATTAACTTCATATTCATCTTAAAATGATTTTGAGTTTTTTATTCTTATCTCTTTTCATTTACGATCAATGTAACGATATAAAACTAATTTTTTTTATATAGTCGAGCTCAATATTAACTAATTAGGTCAATAAACAAGCTGGAACTAGACACATATTTATAAAAACTAATGAATTAAGGTTAATTAAACTTTAAAGGCAGCAAATCAATTTAATTATTCAAAAAATTACACAAAAATTCATAATTTTTAAACCTATGAGTCATAACGATACAAATTTCCAAATTTACACTTTGAAACAATTTATCGAACTCGTAAATTTGAGATGACAACTAGTGATAATAATATTGAAACAATTTGAAACCACACTAGAAATAGAATTAAAGTCGTCGCAATCCCTCGATATTATACCACGTGTACAGATTGCGTTTTCGGTTAACGGCCGTGATCACTCTTCTTCCACACGCAAATTTAATCATTTTATGTTATCCCTGTCAAGTTGTACTATTTATACACGCCATCTGCAACAAAGAGAAAATGATTTGGCACATAGAGAGAGAAACTGCACAAGAGGGAGGTTGATGGTTGATGGTTGACGTTCAAAGTGGACTTCGGGTTGAGTGCCTGAAATTCCTGTCGTCGATGTCGGCGGCCTTTGAAATTTTCGATTGAGCGACATCACCATCGACCATGGGGACGAGCTTCTAAACTGAGCTCCACGATTTTCTGTGTCAGTGCTTGAGATGGAAATCTTCTTATCTGAAGTTGTATTTGTGTGTGTGTGCAGCGGTGAGGGGTGAAGAGGAATCTGAAGGCGGCGAGGGTTTCAGAGGTAATAATATGTATGTATTTCGAAATTTGGATAGCAATTGCTGCTTTACCTGTTCCAAACCGACCTTGGAATATGATATAAGTGAAAAATAAAATAAAATTGCCTATTTCACCAAGGAGATTGAGATTAATTGATGACTAGCCTTTATATATATATATAAAAGCATGTGACCAAGTTTTTAGTTAGTTTTCTATGGCACCCGAAATAATATTAATAATACTCTTCTTTGGATGTTGTATCGTTGGCTTCTTAGTTTTTGTTATTAAAGTTTGTCACCGCAACAAAAACGCACCGAAATCCGATGTCGAGAAAGGCCAACGGACAAGTTTCACTGGCACGGTGTCTATGTGGTCGGAAGCAAATCTTGGGTCGGCAGCTTGTGGCGGTGGCCACGGCCATAGTCACGGGGGCGGCTGCTGTAGCGGCGGCTGCTGTGGGTGAGTGAAAATAATTGATGCACTAATTAATGAGGTTGTAATATTTTCTTTACTAGTGTTTGTCATTGAGAAGTTCTTAATTCCCTAGTTAATAATAAATATACTAGTTTTCATGTTGCATCTTGTACAAAGTGCTTGTCTTGTCTTGTTCGCAAACAACTCAATTTTTTTATGTATTTTAAATGAAAGTCAAGCTGACCTTGTTTTTGCAAATAACTTGTTTAATAATATTAAATTTACTAAACGAGCCAAGTCGAATAGCGAAAAAACTCATGAAGTTGCACGAGCGAGCTGGGTTGTTTACTAACATAAGCTATTGGACTCATATAATATCCCTACTCATGGGACAATTAATTTATGAATCACATTATATTTAAAGATAACAGTTATAATATCTCTTCGTCAATTTATTTCAAAATCAATCAATCAATTAAAAGAGTGCAAATTAAAGGAGGAATGATAGACCTAGGAAAACTTAGAAGAAGATAATAAAAAATGATTTAAAATATTTAAATTTGAATGATGATATGTGCTTAGGTGAAGACATATGATTCATATAGCTCACCCCACTTAATGGAATTTTAACGGCTTGTTGATTGATTTATTAAATTTATTTCAAAGTATTTATATAAAAAAATCATCTGATATACACTTCAAAAAAGAAAAAAAAAAATATCGTTAAGCATTTTATTTTAAAGAAATTTAGTGAAACAGTTACATAGTATATTTTGAATAATATTACATCTAATTTTAAAAATATTCTCGAAAAATTCGAAATATGACTTTGAGTAGACTTATAAAAAGTAGTTCAGGGCCTGAGTAACAGTAATAGGGCACATAGCAGGCCCAACAGCCTTCGGGGCATGCGATTGGTCCGCTATAGCCCCAAAACGGGCTTCCAAAGCAGTTTTCAGGCTCTGTTTATAGCCATCGAGGTTACTTTCGCCGGACCTCGCTCTCTTCCGGTGGCTCCGTTTTCCTCGGCGTGGACGTCGGCACCGGAAGCGCACGTGCAGGTCGCTTTTCACCCTTTCTCCGGATTATAAGGATCTGATTATCTGAATATCTCATACATTCAAATTTACACATCATGACTCTCTATAGCTTCTTTCTATTTAAGAGTACATTTGAATTATCCCCTGTAATATTTGTTGGATACCTGCAATAAAAATGTTTTGTTTTATATTACTTTTTCATTTTTGAAGTGTAATATGTGTTACTGGCTTACTGCTCTGATGTTATCTTCACAGGAGGGCTTAAATAGTTAATAAATGGTTGTCAGAGCTAAGCTCGAGGTAGAGTTTGATCGAACATAAGTCAAACTCGAGCATCTCAACTCGAGAAAATTTCTTATTTGAATAGAAATATTTTATTGAAAATTAGAGCCGATCTCAAGCATTTGTATATTTTTGTTAGAGTCGAGCCAAGCATTAGAAAGTCGAGGTCATCGAGCTCGAGCAGCAGTTGAAACAATCGAGCTTGACTCGATAAGGTCAATGCTTGACTCGGTTAGGCTGGTTTGCAGCCGTTGTTATGGGTACAGTTTTTTGTACACTGGCCAATCTCTAATTTCAGATGATAAATGATAGATGATAAAATTTGAGAATGTTGTTTAAATTATTTAACTTACTGTAGCTAAAGATACTATAGAGTTGGTTCTATGTGTTGTGAGCTGGTTGACGCTCAATGTATTTTCGTGTACTGCTGTTTAATGCAAGACTGAAATAATGGGCCGGTTTTAGCCTTTAGGTTGTTTTAGTAGTCCCATATTGATTTGGAAAGACGATGACTGTGTTAAGGTGATTATATGATGTTTTGGATTTTGATAATCAATCAAGATTCCAGTATATAGGCCTAGATTGGCATTATTACTTACAAAACAAGTGTACTTAAGTTTTCTTGGTGGAGACTGTTGTGCGTTGGCCATATCATGTAATTTAGCTGCTCATCATCACCAGTTAATTATTTTAGATGTAATCGGTGAAACTTTTGTTTGCTTCAAACTTCCTTTTTTTAAACGTCACGGATCAATTTGAATCAGTATGTTCGTAAATTATGCAGGACGTAGTGAAGATCCTTGTTTTTGCTTTTCGATTTGCGCCCCACCTGGAATGATGTACTCATTGTTTAGGCATAAATGTACTAAAGATGCAAGATAACAGGATTTATGAATAAGAGCAGACACCATGAAAATGCAAGAAAATTAGACATTAGTAAACTCGCATAGCCACTGAACAAGGGGAGGACAAAGTTTTCTTATTCCATGTGGAATTAGTACTGTTATGTAGAACTGCAAAAGGTTGTGTTTTGAATAGGTTCTTTCAGGCTTCAGCTAGTATAGTTTCTTCCGTAAAGGGATCTCACCCAAATGATTTTCATGTCGGTTTTCTTTTTTCAATGACTTCCTGCCATTGTGATTTCTTGTTAACTTAAGGTGCTTCACTAGAGACTCCTTCATAATCAAGAAATAGCTTAGCCAAGAACCATAAACAAATATCTAATTACCAATTTTGGATTGCACTTTTAGCTTCTGTGGGTCAAAAGAGAGTTTGCAAGAGTCCTGTTATGGCATTTAGGTGGATGGATCTCAGTGACTGGTTATCATATAGGTATTGTTCTTAAGTTAATATCTCATTTTGTCCACCAGCTCTCGAGATAAAACATACACTTGATATATATATATATATATATATATATAACATTTATCGTTGCTGTTTCCTATTGTTACGTTATCTTAGTTTCAATTGTTTTAGCCTTTAATTCATCATATACTTTTGTGGCTTGACTGTTATAGTGTACCCCTCGAAGGACCTGAAAGTGAGGAAGTACCATGATGCTAATTATCCGATATTCCTTGATCTTTTTACAAGCTGCATTTATCTCACTTATCTCATTGTTCGATGAAGAAGGCTGTTTCTCAGTATGTTTTCGGTTGCTATGTAAGAATTGGTAAAGATGATGAATGATTTGAAGAATTCATAATTTCATTTACCCATCTTGGTTATCTGGTTGTCTTTGTAAACATGTAAAAGATTGTACTTAGACTGTGTTTGGTAAGCCAAATAAGCTAGCTTATAGCTTATTTGGTTAGCTTATAAGCTCCATGTATTCAAATAAGCCTCGTTTGGTAGGACGAACTTTTTTAAAAAGCTCGAGTTTATCTCATAAGCTACTTTAGGTAGCTTTTCAAATAAGCTAGTTGAATTTTTTGTTTCAGTTAGCTTATCAGCTAATTTTACAAAACACTTTTATCATATAAGCTAGCTTTTCAGCTATAAGTCATAAGCTATAAACTATAAGCTAAAAATTTACAAATAAACTATCAGCTAGCTTATCAGTTATCAGCTAGTTTTACCAAACATACCGTTAGTCTTCAACCTATCTTTTTCCTTTAGCTGTACTTTCTTTATCCAGTGAAATGTATAAATGCACGGGGTTTGTTTATCCTTTGAAGTGTATATAAATCAGGTTTGGTTGCAAATCTAAAAGCATTGTAATTTTGCATGTCTTAGGGGCATATTTGTTTGATCAACTTTTTCTTTATCACTGTCAAAATTATTAAAGTGATGCAAGTAAAATGGTCTCACCAACTTGAATACTTGATACCAAATTTTTGGAAGGTCAAATTCTGTGACACCATCATCAAAATCCTATTTTGCTCGGAAACCCTTTTTTTTTTTTTGTTGCTTTTTCATACCTAACACAACAGAAAAGATTTTCCAAAGTCAACTTTTTAATGGGCCACTGGAATTTGTTCACTGAAGTGGATTTTTAACACTTCCTTCTTAATTCTTATCCACAACTATCTAGTTTAGACCTTCTCCAACCGGTGCGCAAACGCATCTTGAGATGGAATATTTTTCTCCAACCGATCGGCAAACTCAAACGCAAAATGCGTATTTGGTCATTTTCTCTCTCCTCCCAACGCAAATTTGCGTTTTACTGTTGATGAACGCAAAAAAATTAAAATCTTTGCAATATGGTCCTTCTCAGTATGTTGTTCTTTTATTTCAGTATATAATTGGCTATTTTTTTAATTTTTTATTTTTTTTTTCTTTTCTACATCTGTGTTTCCCGATATGTAGAGTATATATTCCTATGCATTGTTTAGTAATTTTTTGTAATACACTACCCATAATACAATTATATATAGTACTTTTTATGTTTTATTGCATTATATATTTAATTATAAAATTTTCTATATATTTTATTTTGTATGTTTTATACTATTATATATTTTAGTATGTATTCTGATACATATTTTGCATTGGTTTTTTTCATTTTCTATTGTCTCATAATAAAATATATAACTAGCAAAAATTTGATTTCTCATTTTGTGAGTTGTAATTTTTAATTTTATCTTGCGTGTTGTAATTTTTAATGTGCGTTGTAATTTTTAATTTTATCTTGTGTGTTGTAGATTTTTAATTTCTCATCTTGTGCGTTGTAATTTTTAATTTTATCTTGTGTGTTGTAATTTTAAATTTTAATTTTTAATGACTATTTATTTATCCGATTTTATTATGTATATGATTATAACTTTATAATTAGTTTATTACATAAAGTCCAAACTGAATTGAAAATAATAGTGTGGTTTAATTTGTAAAATTATAAAATATGTAGGTAGTATTGAAAAGTTGTAAAAGTTGATGTAAAAGAGAATATTTCGAGAATATTCTTTTGGGTTGGAGAATGGGTTTTTCGGTTGGAGATAAATTACTGCAAAATGGAATAATTACTGCAAAATTGGTTTGAGTATGGAGTATTCGGTTGGAGATGGCCTTACTACCAAGTTAATTTCAAATTGGAAAGACATTTGAGTTTTTCTGTGTTTCATATCTGAATCAAAATTGCTATTTTTAGTGTTCATGTTCCAAAATTATGTTCCAGTTCATATTTTATTCCATTGGATGAATTTCACATCATGTCACGATTATGTCAAATAATGATTCATATTTTATTACCATAACTTTGTGGTCAAGTCAATTTCTTGGATGCTTGCAATAAAAAAGACAGGATTTGTTAAGAACATTGGGTTGACAATCGATGTGAAGATAAATTGGTAGTTATTAGGGGATTAGGAGTACTATGTTTGAGAGATAAGCAACTGCGTCATTTTGTAGCATCCTTTTTAGGTGTTATGTTACAAAATAAAGTGCAATTCTGATGATAATAATATTCATCACACAACATAAAGTCTACCGATTAAAGTGCTCATATAAGTCATTTGGAGGCATGCTTTACAAATTATTAAATTTGTTGACAATAATTTGTGTGCAGGTACATGATTGAGGGAATGTATCTTTGTCAAATTTCTTGTTTGTATGTGTTCTTTAGGTTTTGTAAATTGTAATTAATGGGGTATGCCAGGTGCGGAAGGCAAGTGGATAAGCCTTCTAATAAACTATGTTTAGTGTGTGTTTTGTTCAAATTGATTAGTGTCGTTGAAATATCGAATATTTTACTGTAACGGGAAAAGAGTGACTTGGTTGTACTAATTAAGCACTAAACATAAAATTTATCTTGGAAACTTTTCGGTTATATCCAGTGACACACCAAAAATTAGTCTGTAAGAAATTCTAATAAATAACATAACCACAATTTTTTTTAATATATACTTACTTTCGAATTGATTAAACTTTAATAAATAATATAACAAAAAACATGAAATTTCATAAGAGAATCTTTATCAAGAGGTTTAAGAAGAGGTTTACAAACACAACACTGGATGTTTATCTATTATTTGGCACATGTTTAAGGTTTGTGAACGTAGAACATGTTTGTGAATCCAAACCTCCTCTAAACCTAAAAAATATAAAAAGAAGAAAAAAGAGTAAAACTGTACAAACTTGGTGTGCATCTCACGTGAATTGGTCAAAGGAAAAATTTGTTGTCACGCGCCAATAAAAGAGTGAGGCCTTACTGATCACATGGACCCACATGCCTGTTGTCAATTCTTGGTCTTTTTTTTTTTTTCAACCAATT